ACTTTCTCACGGTTACCGTATGAAATCAACCTACGGCTTGTTGTATCCAAGTCCACTACCATGGGAACTCCTGCATGGTTTTCTTTGTATCATGCTTTCAAAATTCAAAGCATTCGTTTTGTGATAGGTTTCAATATTAACTATACTAATTTTTTTTAATTTCAGACGATGAAACGGAAGCGCCAGGTAATATATTCTTCTTCCTCCTTTTATCTTGCTCCAGAAATGCTTGACGGCATTTGAAAGAGAATTTTATTGCATTGGATGTTAATTCCCGAAGACTGCCTTGATACCGGTATCATAAACGCAACTTACCCTGCGAATTATTGCCAAATCCACTAACATACTAAATTGTGCTAGTGTCAATCTGCGGAAGGATTTTTCGAACTCGGGCTGTAAGCTCATGAGGCAATTCCTAGCCTGCAACACGCACCCATTAACTTGCGTGGCAGGAACGTATGCAAATATCATAGGAAAAAATGTAACTACCCCCTAAACTATAATCAGATTGGCTTTGCCCATTCAGTTAAAATAACTCGAATGTATGCTGCTTTTAAACTAAATTTTCGGTATTTTGTGTCAAGTAAGGGTCTACCACACTACCCATTTTCACGACCACAGAAGATGGCGTAGTTCTAAATTTTTCAAAATTCCAAATTCAATTAATTGATTCATGAAATTCTGATGAACAGCCTACGGGGCTAGAACATCCTACTTTCCAGAGGGTTAAAAAAAACAGCACTCGATCGAAGTCAAAATCATTTACGTGTTTTTAAATAAGATGTCTAGAACCGCAACAGTTGATACTTCTTTAAAACATATTTTTGATCGGACTGTCTTTCGTCTCTAAGTTGTCTAATGTTACCTCCTGTCATAGGTGCATAACAAATAGCTATTCTGTATCATGATTTTAAAGTGCCTGCTACTATGGACTTGTATAAACGTCCATATTCAGAATTTCGTTCACTTAAAAACATTGACTCTAGAACGAGTAAACTAATGGGTATTACAGTAGTCGCTGGTTATTAAGCCCACGGTTAATAGGCCCAGCCGCGTATTAAGCCCAAATCAGATTGGGACGGAATTTAACATAGCAAAATCCGCCGGCTAAAAAACCCAGTCGCCGGCTACAAAGCCCAGTTCGCCAACAAGATACAGTGAGATTCTCATCGCTCTGCGTGCGCAACGCGGTCTACAGGCATCAGATT